CATACCCAATAGGAAATATAAAAGCATTTGCCTGTTCTTCTAAATCACTTGTTTAGGAAGGAGATATTAAATGTGAAAGGTTTCAGTTTAGACAGTTTTATACATGTATATATTTTCATCTACACACTATTACAAATTCTCAAAATGAAACATGTGGTCTCCCAAAGAACTTTCTCACCAGGCGAAAGCTGATTTTGGCAATGAGCCTCCTTCATTGACTTTCAGGGAACGTAGGTAGGTTTCTTAAGCAGACCCTGCCCTTCAGATTTAGTGCAAAAAGAGATCAATCTTCATAGATGTTCATTTTGAACCGCATTTTTAGATACTTTAAGTGATCTCAAGCCTGTCGCTTTGTATCTTAAAAACTGCCCAATTACCTTGATAACTGGCAAAATGAAACACTAAAACTTACTGCTGATGAAAGACAAGCGACCAATTAAGGCATCGAACGTGGGGCAAAGCAGGCTTATTTTGCACCGCCAGCTCCTGTACATCTAAGATACAGTCTATGCTGCTCTGAACACAGGCTTAATTTGCCAAATGGTTTGCACCTTTATGTTAAGACCTGGGAAATATCTATCAATATCTTGGTTTTGCTGCTCACCAGAAATTTCAAGTTATGTGTTTGGGGAGGTACAATAATGGTTTTTTATGTATTTAATATGTATGAGAGGTAAAAGTTTATAAATTACATGATTGCATTTTTACAAGTGCGTTGCATCTTTAAAATTCTTTTTGAGTACTATTAAATGGACTTTCCATTTCTTGATAGTTGTTCTTTTGCTTCAAATTCTAGCCATTCATTAGCAAAGTTAAGATCATTTTTTTTTCAGTATTCAGAGTCCTGTCATCCTGAAAACAGCTGCTGTGAGACTATTTAAAAGCCTTCAACTAGTTAAGAATATATATATTCATATATAAATAGCTGTGTCATTCAAGCCTTTCCATTTATAATTTATATTCTTTGAGCTTCAACCAATGCCCAGCTCTCAGCCAGTCCCTGAGGATAATATTTAGTTTGACTCAGAGTGGCCTAACACACTTATTGTCAGGTATATGTTTTGCTAATCAAATTTGCACTTCTAATCTAGAGGACTCAAGGGATGAATTCCTTACCCTCTATTTTACTTAGCTTACAACCCCGTGGGCAAGAACAATTTCCATTATCTGAATTTTGTTCGTGATTAAGCTACAGCAGGAATAGTAAAAAGCAGAAAAGAAAATGCTCTTTTGCTAATGCATTTTAATACAGAGCTATGTTTAAAAGCCCCCCTTAAGAAATCATCATATTATGTGGATATTAACAATGGCATTCACACTTTGTAAAAATTATTTACCCTATAGTTTTAATTTAAATATCTTGAATGTAATTGTTTTCTATTTTTAGCCATGGTTAAGTCAAACACATTTCTTCTTAATTTGTGCATTCTTCACAATCATATGACTTTATTTCCTGATTCGAAAAAAATTATTAAACCATGCAAGATCCATCTATTTTAACTAATCTCATTTTGAGTTCTAATGTTCAAATTGATGTGGTCATGATCTAAAATTATTTTAAAAACAATTTCAAGGACATTATTATCTTTTTTGGCAGACACAGATTTCATGTCTACTGAATTTTTGAACAAGTGAAAGATAATATCCATGTAAATCTGTTCCCTTTGCCAATGATAAAGTTAAGTGCTTCTAAGAATCTATCCCTACTCAAAATTTATACAAGAATAATTGATTTTGCCTTTACATTTACTTATTCAATGTCTTGAAATATACCTACACTTTAATGTATATGAATATATTAATACTTATACAATCTGGATTTCTACTCTAATTATTTCAGCTCTAGATAATTTATTTTATTTTATTTTTGCCCGCATTGCTATGCTTTTGTAATAGTTTTTTACAGCTGTTTTTCTTTTCTAATTTTTCATACTTCTCTAATTTTGACTTTTCTCCATTATTGTTTTCTTTCTTGGCTGCTTTTTAAGTTCATTAAGTCATGCACTTGTGGGGTCCTCAGCAAATTCGAATGCCTCTGCTGACTTCTAGATGTTCACTTTGGCTGTTAAAAAATGCATGCTCTTGCTCTAGGACAGATCATTTTTCTTTGATGACACTAAATAAGATCCAGTCAGACAACTCAGTTTATTTTTTCAGCTGTTCTTTCATAATAATTTTAATGAAAACTGTGAAATGATTCCAGTCCAAGGAGGCGGCTAACCCGGGAAGAGAACAATAGTGTACCAAAAAATGCTTTTGTGTGATTTCTCAGATGGGTCCTGCACCGAGAAGGACTTTCATTTCAGCCAGAAGGACGATGAGAAAGCATGAGCGCTGTGGCTCTGAACTCCCTTTGGATAATACTTCTTGACATATGGAAAATGTTTCCTGACTTATGAAAACTAGTATCAGATCAGAATTTACTAAAAAGGCTCTGGTCACTGGGGTGAAAGAAGCATTAACACAATCCTTAAGTACAGTCTTTAAATCATAAGTATCCTACTAATGAAAGAAGTATAATTATTTTAACTTTTCTGAGTTTCAAGAGACTGTAGGCAAAAGAAAGCTTTAATCATATACCTAATCATGTGCAATTTTAAAATTTCTAAAAAATCAACTACATGCACTGGATAATAAATGTAAATCTCTAGCTTGATATTTTTGTTTCTTTTTAAATGGAGAGAGTTTTAAACTTTGTTTTTATAAATGTAAAGTTTTAATTTGATCATCTCATTAGGTAAAAACCTCTTTCCTATGTTTTCAGGTGACGTCAAATGAAAAAATGTAATAACCATTTGAGTTGACATGTGCTGTACACTAGAGTCACTAAAATCAGACTTATTAACAAGATATCAGCTAGTAAACTATTTAAAATTCGTGAGGCTATATGTCAGAAATTCAAAGTAGCTGCCACTAGATAGTTGTGGTGCCTTATTTACTCCCCAAAACTGTTCCTCCAGTCAAGAAATTTGACATGCTGGAGATAAAACTAAATTCAAATTTATTTTCCAAGTTTTCAAATGCAAGTCTCATCACTGACTAAACTGTCTATAACTAATTTCATCCAGACTTCTTCCAAAATTATTGACAGTTAAATCCAAAGTGACTTCCGAATGACAGGCTCAAATATTGGGTTATCTCCAGGCTTGTCTTACTGAGGATGGCTTCAAGGAAGTGACAGTGTGGCTAAACCTCTAAATCCTTTTCAAGTATCAGAACTTTTTTTTTTTGGTTTTTCTTTCTACTTTTATTCTTCTGGTTAATTTTAATTTAGTTTTCTTTATTTCCTAGTCAGCATCAATATTGAAAGCATTTGCAAACATTAATTAGCAATGTCCAAGTTACTAGCTCTGGGTTTTTTCAGAATAATTCTGGAAATTTTTAGAATTTGTGGAATTTGGAAAAACTCTGTCTCAGACTATGGACAAAGTTCTGCAGGTGGTATAGTTGCCAATAAAGTCTCCAATGAAAGTCATTTAAGTTACCTGAGAGACCAAAGGAGGAATGCCAGCTCAGAAAGAATATTTCACCCTAAAATGTCCCCAGACTTTTCAATTCTTCTCAAATAGGAAGGGCAAGTCTACTCCATGCAATAGCTGGTTATAAACCAGGCAGGTTTTTTTATGCAACTGTGGTAGGATTGAAACCCTGACCCCAAACCAAGGCAGCCCAGCTCAGGGGATTTAAAACCTAACTTCAGGATTTCATTGCCATGCCAACTTTTCATTCGTGGTCCCTGAAGTAAAGGCTTAACACTCGATCATATCAATTTTATATTTCTTCTTGTTTAATACCTGTTTTCATCACTTATTTTACACACACACACACACACACACACACACATATATACATATATATTTTTTACCTCTTCTTCCTTATACTCACATAAAGTATTTCAGCTTTAGTTCAAAGCCTCTTACTTCCTTCATCTTCTATACTTAGGTAAGTTTTACATGTTCCTTTGACATTTGAAGTCTGTCTTCAGATAGATGACTGATAGATAGATAGATGGACAGATAGATAGATGATATTATCTTGTAACTTCTTAATGTTTCTCTCCACACTGCTAATAACTAAGCAAGGTTAGGCTACCTAGGTAAACAGATTTTTAGCATGGGTAGTACTTACTCTGATAGCGTGTGCTCTAAGGGGAAGAGCTGAAGATATGGAATAATAAAACTTTGTATTTGATTTCGACACTTGCTTGCTCTGTGACCTTAGTGATGTGATATAATCTATTAGAGATAAGCATTTTCTGTATGTAAGTGAGGATTAGTAGTTTCTGTTCTACATGTCTAACGGGGCCATCAGAAAGAACAAGTTAGAGCAGCAGTTTTCACACTAACTAACGGGGAAGGATCAGGTATGTATGTATGTATGTATGTTTTTGTTCTGGTACATTGCAGACTACACTTTTGTAAAATACGGTTAATACTAAATACTAAAAAAAAATTTTTAAAAAGAAAGAAAACTTAAAACATACAAAATACGTGTCACTTCTCTTTAATTGATAGATCTAACTGGCACAAAATTGCTCTATTGATATTCATAAAAGTTTGTAAGCGTTTACTCAGTTTTTGTACTTCTTTTATTAGGGTCTAAAAACAAACAGTTACGATTACTCTTTCGTGTTTCAACTATTCAATATATAATCCATATGGTTATTTTCTTAAACAAGTCTGTGCTTGCCTTTTATTACTGAACAGGGCTTGTTTACTCCACAAAATTTTTATAAACATACACTACATAAAATAGTTTCAACTCTAAAGACTATTAATAGGCTATTAATTTTATCTCTTATGCCAATTGAGTTCTTAAACTTAGCTATCATGCAAGTTATACATATGTGGAAGATTCAAAAAGAAACTAGGAAAATGATAAACACTATCTGTAAATGAAACTCATAAACAATTAAACGTGCCTAAAATGATAAAGGAAAGATGTTGATTACTCTCCCTAAAATGTAAAATTTGTAAACTACCTTTATCTTCTACTTCTAGTTTCCTACAGAAGACTCCACTACACCTGGGTGTTTTCAACTAATATAATGATGCGGGATGAAACTAAATCCACTGGTTTTATTTAAGCCTCTGCATCTCAGTGTGAATCTATAATCTGGATAATCCTTACATGCCAGGAGTTTTGGGGAGCATGTGAGTACCTTATTACAACGATATAAGCTGCTATGGGAGTGAAGTGAGACATTTTCATGGTGCTAACGGGAATCTAGGCAAAAGAACAATGCTGCTTCCTCAGGAAAATAAGCATAATGTGATAATAATAATATCCTAATGAGAGAATACACGCCTTCAAGACATTTTTGAAAAAATAGACATTTGGTAAAATACCACATGATTTTATGAACCCAAGTGCTTACAACTAAGGTGGGTTAATATCTAGACCTGAGGGAGTGTGCCTGTCTCTATGAGTCTGTTTCGTGCAACCTTTAACCTACATTTATGCAACTTACACAGTCAACTAAAATAAAGCACAAAATAATATATTTAAAACTTGAAATAACTCTTCCAGATTGAGTTTTGGGTTTTTTTTTTCTTTTAGTATTTTAACAGTTTTAAACATGAGGGAGTTGAAGTCCTGAGAGGTCAGGTGCATCACCTCAAGTCTCCAGCTCTCCGGTGACAGAGCACACTCGTGAGTCCATGTCTGTTTGTCGAAAGTAGCTTCCTTACACACCTTGCCACATTGGGTCCCAGGTACTTATAACACTGTCTAGTATTTATACAGCCAATTTCTTTAAAGTGTTCAGAGAAAATCTCTATCTGCTACTCTCTTTACCCTTTCTGTTAAGATTTCAAGCAGTTTGAGTTTTCTGTGAGGTAAGCAATGGAAACTAAAATTCAACTTTGAAAATGGAGAGATAATGATATAGGTATGTAAAGTGATTTGTTCAAGGTCACAGAGCAAATCAAGAAGACAGGTAGAACGAAAACACATTTTATACTTTTCCTGTTTTATACTTTTTCATTGGCATATCTCTTACTAGTTCTTTTCTCTCATAGAGGCTAAAATATTGCAAACAAATGAAGAGATTGTTTTTAAAGGATTTGTTATATAGCCTGCTGGGAAAGTTAAAACACATAAAAAGGTCAGGGAAATAAACACTCTTTTATACCATTTAAAAATCAAGGATAGAGATAGGTTTAAATTTATAGTGTTAGAGTATCTCCAGGACCACACACAATCTGCCATGCATTACACATAGCAGATTGTTAATCAACGTGCAGAATAAATTCATACATGAAGGGGTCTAGTAATAAAAAAAGATATTTACATAAAATAAAATAAATTGTCATGTTTAAAAGTACCCACTCATTTGTTTGTGTGCAATACATAGCAGGCAATAAATTACTCTGAACACAAGGCTCATTTCATGCTCTCAATGAGCTTATAGTCATGCCAGCGAGACACACAAGTAAAAAGCCAATTTATTCATAGAATATAAAGTGCTGGGACCTAGGTAAGCACAGGCCGCCTAATGGGAGGCTTGTAAGGTCCTGGAGGAAGCAAAGTCTGGTGGATGTTAGGCATCCCAGAAAGAGGTAAGCTTGTGTAGAGCCCTGAAAGAGAGCATAGGAGTAGTAATTCACGGTGCAGAGGACACAAAGTTTGAGAAATATTTATACCTCACAGAAACACATGCATTAAGTTTTTTGCATTTTAATTAACTGAAAGTCTTGAAGAAAATTTTGAGAATTTTAGAATAGGTGCAGTTTGGGGCAGGTGTGGTGTGCTGGCATGCCTCCACAATCCCCCTCTTTTTCTGGTGGCCATCCCCAAGTTCCCGAGCCCAAGTTTATTTATGTATTTATTTAGTCTTTCAAAGGTAGAGCTCAGGATACAACTTGATCCCACCAATGTGAACTTGTATAAGATTGGAAAAACAGAACTGAAGGATTATATTCCCCTGGCTCCAGCTGGTGCTGCTAAAAGGCATGATCTTGGAGACACTGGGTATTTTTGCTTGAACGCTCGAGTGCCTAGTTATCAGCTCAGTGGGTGTCCAGGGACATTGGTAGCGGGGCAGGTAGAACTTCCTGAGCCCTGGAGAACCGTTATGACAGAGCCCTGGTGAACACGGCAGGTCTCCAGCAGCCTCCCTGTGCCCTGCCCTCCTGAGGAGTGGGCGTGGCTCCCTGACGGCCAGGGTGGGAGTCTTTCCTATGGGCCTTGTGAAAATTCTCTGCCAGCATTGTAGCAGCCCATTCCTGCACTAAATCTCTGTCTACTTTCAGTAGCTAGAATTCTTGCAGCAAAGCAGTCCAGATGCTTGGTCAAACACAGTTTTAGGAAATAAGAATTCACTGAATCGGTCGCCATTCTATAGGTAATTTTGATTTATAAATTTTGATTGGTCTTGAATGTACCACATTCTAAGATATATATAGAAAACAAACTATGGGCTCTTTGTGGAAGGAATTTGTATTTTATTACCTCTGGTGTCCCTCATTTTATATGATGTCCAGCATGTAATGTAACTGCTCAGGAAATGACTGCTGATTGGATAAACTAATCAAATAATTTCATCCATCTATCCAACTTTATTTTTTTATTTTAATTTTTAAAAAATTCATGTTAGGTGTAAGTTAATTATAGCTGAGATTATTTCGGTTTTTTCATATTCAAGTTAATAGTTTTTACCTTTAAAATTTCTTGGTGTTCTGTGTGACAAATTGCCTAGTTAATTCTCTCATTTTAATTTTTGATGTATACACTAAACAATGAGTTCTGCTGTATAAAAGGCAGCCATTCCAGCCAAACCATGAATAGATCTAAAGAAAGTTCAATAGAAGACTGAAAATATTGAGACACTTGCATGTTAATTTATAAAAAGTTGAGGGAAGGTACAGCTCAGTGGTAGAGCGCATGCATGCACAAGGTCCTGGGTTCAATCCCCAGTACCTCCATTAAAAAAAAAAAGTATGACATATTAAAATCATGCTTTTATGTGTTTAGATGCTCAGATATGCATAGTTGAATTTGAGTTCCAAAAGCATTAGATAATTATTATAAGGTAATTTCATCAGAATATTGGACAAAACTGATGACATTTTGTCTTTTCCAGTCCTCTTCATTGACACTATGAAGTAAAACTGTTTAAGAGGTATCAATTTTGTTATTTTATAACAAGGAGACTTTACATCACCACTAGTCTGAGTAAAGGATCAACTACTCAGAACAGTGAGCCAAGATTATTTCTATTCATTTGTGATTATGATTATATTATAAATAAAATACAATATAAAGCCAGAATATAAAGCATCCAAGAGAGCACAGATTATGTTAGAATTACTATGGTATCATGAAGAAATGACAGGCATACAATTTTGTGCCAAAAACAAACCTCTGTTCATGACTAAAATCTGAATTACATCTGTAGATTCACTATCTGGGCTTCAATCTCTTTTCTTTACTAACTTAGTCCTAACCAAAGTCATATAAATAAAACAAGACACTAGGCCTTCAGTGAGAAATGGGGCTAAAAAGAGCTCTGCCAAGAGCTAGTTCTCTCTCCATAGCTCTCCCTTTATTTTCTACAAAAATTTCAACTGACACCTTGGCTAGTTTCAACATATTTTCCTGTGGGCATGTAACGAACAGCAGCAGCAAAGCCAGCTCCCAGGTCAGCGGACTTCACATTTGCTCTACTGAGCAAGACAGACTCGAGAAACTAATGATCTCAGAGTCACAGCCAGTGAGCTGCTTTCGTCTCATACCTAGGGAGTCTAGGCTCATTACATGTTTGATAGGGAAAAATATGTTGATGGAAATGCATGGGCACTTTAGGGTAAAGAAGCATCAAGGGCAGTGATACGAAAGGACTTTCAAGAAACTTTCTGTCTCCATTCATTGACATTTCTGACAGCTTGAGACAATGAGAGCAGATGGTGATGTGGAGAATTGGGATGCTCTGGGAGACCTCTTGAGGATTTGGGTACCACTGGTTGAATCTTGCTTGTTGGTTGGTGAGAATTATTTGATAACGTTGTACTTTCGTGGTTAGAGCAATTCTATTGTTTATTCTCTCTTTTTCAACATTTCCGCTTCATATACTTTATTGATATTCATACATTATAGAATGGCCTTCATTAATAAGAAGAAGTTGGCTCCATGACATTTTCCAGGTGATATGAGTTGGCAAGTCTAGTGAGTCAACTGAAGGTTTTGATTCATGGAGTGATGCTAGTGGCCTAGGCTCTCTCTGAATGAAGAGAAAAGTAGATTAACATCCAATTAGTAAATGTGCATATAAAGGGAGAAGAAGTGGGAGTGAAAGTGACCTCTTCAGCACAGAGCCAGAAGTCTGGGTTACCGCATTATACACAAATCCATGTCCAAAGATGGAACAGCTTCCTTTAGTCAAATAAGGTATGAAGACATAGAGGCATAGCAGGTAAGGAAACAGATTCCAAAGCATCAACAGCTGTAATCGCTTGTCAAGTGACATCACACTATTGATTGTCAGTATGATAGTTCAGTGTCAGTACAATTAGTTGAAAAGTGAAAAATGCCATTTACTTTGTCCACATGATGTCAAAATGTCTCTTTGTCAGTTTTTCATGAATTACTGCAAATGCCTTGTTAAACGATAGATTTTCCAGGCTCTTTCATATAAATAACATTTTATAGGACTTAAAAAGTCTTGAAATGATTTTGTCATCTTAAAAAAAGCAAATATTTTTTGGTTCATAAATATTCATAGAAACATAATTATTTTGTCTGCCACTTAATATTCAGTCTAAGATGAAAATGCACATAAGTAAACCAAAAATATCTCCTGCCAGTCTTTAATTTTAGTGTTTGCTATATGTTTCAACCATATACTAATACAAATTTAAGGTTTCTCTAGTAAGGCGTCCATCTTATGGCAGACCCACCTGTTTGTCAGATGTTATCATTTTATTTTCCTAATTCAGATGAAATGCTGTTCACGAGATTCAATTTCTAAAATAGTCTTTTTTTCAAAAGGTTGGAACCATTTTTATATCTTGTGTGCACTGCACTGTGTGTTATTGCACTCTATATACAACTTATATATGCATTTGTTAGGTGGAGTCCTGCAAAAGGAGGAAAAAAGAAAAAGCTTTAAATGGGCATTTTCAGGTCCATGCTTTCCTTGGAAAGCAATATGGGGAGGGATACTAGACTCTTGGCGAGATTGCATTATGATGTAGTGACCCTGAAAATAGGGTCAGAAGGAGGTCTCCCTGCTAACTGGAAAACTAATCAATATAATTCAATATAAGGACTGGTGCCCCCAAATCACATAACTTCTCTCCTTTTCTGTTCCTTGCCGCTATCAACCCTGAGACTCCAGCCTCCTCCGCCTCATGGTTATCCCCTCATTGCTCATACACTCATAGTCCCGCATGTAGGCAAATGCTCACAAAAAGTTGTAAGAATCTTCTATCATTGGTTACGTGTATAAAAAAGTCAGGA